GTCCAGAGGAGGGCAACAAAATGACCCAGGGTTTGGAAACACTGCCTTATGAAGAGAGACTGAAAGAACTGGGTATGTTCAGCCTTGAGGAGAGAAGACTGAGCAGGGACATGATATCCTCCTATAAGTACCTTCAAAGGCTGTCACATGGAGGAAGGTCAAGAACTCTTCTTGCTGATATCAGAATGCAAGGCACAGAATAATCGGGTCAAGCTGAGACAACCCAGATTCAGGCTAGATATTAGGAAAAGCTTCCTCTCTGTCAGAGAAATATGACAGTGGAACCAGCTGCCCAGAGAAGTGGTGGGATCTCCCTCAGTAGAGGCATTCAAACAGAAACTGGACAGCCTTCTGAGTGGGAGGTGTAAATTGGAGTCCTGCAACAGCAGGGGGTTGGACCTGAGGGCCTTCCTGGACCCTTCTGACCCAGCTGTTCTGTGAATCTGTGACTCAGTGACCCTTCCAACTCTACTATGCTATGATTTCATGAACGGATGGTGAGCCAGACATCGGTTCACTGAACAACCAATGTTCACTATGGCATATTGCCATGGTGAGTCTGTGTGATTTATGAATGCATCCAGTGGCTGTCACTGGAAAGCACCAAAAAGGGAACCATGTCCTCTCTTCATCTAAAGGATCAAAGAAACAGCAGGCAAGACCAATTTCCGTGAATTTGGGGTATTAGGTAAGGGAACAGACATGTTAAATGTAGCTGGGGAATAGGATGAAAGAAAGGGCAGGCAAATATGATTGGGTTTAGGGATTCCTCACTAAATTTAGAGTTTCAGTGAAACATAATGCATGCCATCAGCCTGACACAATAAATGGGCACACACAAATCATAGTATGAATTCCAAAGCTTTTTAAAATACTTCATTCAACAAATGATAGCCACTGAAGTTTCTGGTGTCTACTTCTGCCCAATCACTGGTTAGTTTCTAATACAAGGAGCGGAAATGCACTTATTTCATCCATCTGTGCTGGAATCAGAGATACCACATCCTACAGAATTCTGCAGATCATTTCAGTCTCTGTAGATGTCACTCTTGCCCCTTCCTTTAATGGAAGCCTCTCCCTCCTCCCTTAACTCATTAACTCCAAGATCAACAGTATCACAACTCCTAGTTCTCCAGCTTCAGCTTTTTTCAACTACGCCAGAAATCTCATTCTTTCCTGACAATGATATTGCCAGGGCAAAGAAGGTAAACCCTTTCTGATTAACAATATTTGGCGAATAGATGAGAAGAGTAAATAACAGCAAGAGCAGGTAGCTGGATTGCCAGTATCAGCCACAATTGTCCACGCTGAACAAATGTCCACGCTCTACCATATTTTCAGATGCAGAAATCACCCAGTGTGTTTTAGCCATCTGCCCACAGAAGCTGCATTTTGCAAAGCAGAATACCCATCATGTCCTCCATCTCTAATGTTCAGACAGTGAATGTTATTGCTTATGAAGCCAAAATAGTACCCCATATGCTCACTTGAGGGAAGTCTAATTACTAGAGGCATGAAGGAATGCCAAGGCTTACAGAAGTACAGATTTTTTTTTTTTTTCAGAAGAAACCTCAAAGCACCTTACAGCACAATCCTATTCATTTTAGACAGAAAAAAAGCTAACAACTGTTAGCATGCTCCTGTCAGCCATGCTGCCTGGGGCATGCTGGGAGTTGTAGGCCTTTTGTCTGTCTAAACATGTATAGAACCACACCATGAATGACTAAACACAGTTCTCTGTCTAAGCATGCATATGATTGCACACTTAATGACAATACACAATCCTCTATTTAAATATGCATAGAATTGCATCTTTAATTGCTTTTGTTGCAAATGTCATTTGCTGCATTGTATGTTCTTGTCCTATAGGTCTCCATACTTTCTGAACACAAACCTGTAATTTCATCATGCAGATTAGATTGCATTGAGGCATTCTGTCCTTGCCTTTACTGTCCATTTTCTAATTGGATACTTCAGATGGTTCAAAATAGAGCTGCCAGGATGCTGCCAGGATTATTCTCATATAACCCCAGTCCTCTATCAGCTCCACTGGCTTCCCATCAAAGTCCGGGCTCGATTCAAGGTGCTGGTTATTACCTATAAAGCCCTAAATGGCTTGGGACCAGGATACCTAAAGGAACGCCTTCTTCCCTATTTGCCCTCCTGCCCCCTGAGATTGGCAACAGAAGCCCTCCTCTGGGAACCCTCTGTGAAAGACATTAGGAGACAGAGTACCCAGAGGAGGGCCTTCTCTGTGGTGGCACCCCATCTATGGAATGTGCTCCTCAGAGAGGTCTGCTTGGCACCATCATAATATGTTTTTCGGCGCCAGGTTAAGACCTTTTTATTTAAATGTTATTTTAATAAGTTTTAATATTGAATTTTATTACTGTATTTTAATTTGTAGCCAGAGTGGGTTGTCAATTTATTGTTTATGTACCTTGGAATTTTATTTGTGTAAGCCGCCCTAAGGCTCTTGCAAAGGATGGCATACAGATATCTTAAATAAATAAATAATTCCAATAAGTAAATTAATAAAAATCATGCACTACTAACGATTCCATTTTGTGAGACAGGAACGCAGCAAATCCAAGGAAGGCAAATGTCTTAAGTGTGATTGGAAATCTTGCACTGTGCCTGCAAAGCTGGCAAATGCTGGCTTGTAAACATACAGTGCTCAGCCAGCCACAACAGGCACTTCGTAATCTGTAATTCTATTAAGACCTATTTAAAAGTACTTACAAAAGCTACGATGTTCAGGTATACATTCTCATAGATAACCACAAGTGATGTTTATTTATAAAAGCATAAAAGGCATCACCCAAGATGTAGTTGCATGAATATGTTTTCCGTATTACCTGCATACTTGTTATGATGTTCATACAGCATGGAATAGTTAACTTATTTTATTCTGAAATAATGTTGCAAGCCGTCCAGAGACGGAATTAATGGACGGCATACAAATTTGATAAACAAATAAAACACTTGTGCAGTACTCTTTCCCGTTTTGTTGTGAAATCCAGTTAAGTTGCCACAGGACGATGTAATTCACAATATCCTCTGGGAACAGTATGAGAGACTGTAGAAATGATATTCTAGGTTTCACAGTAATTATTTTTCTTATAGGCCACTTACTTAGCCAGCATATGCTGAGAATGACTGCAGAGGATTGTGGAATAACAGTTCCTCACATGAGATATAGAAGTTAGAAAACAATGGATATATAGGGAGTAACTACTTTGGTATTTAAGGGTGTATGTGCAGTTAAAGCAAGGTAGTTATAAATGGAAGTTCCAACAGCAGGAACATCCAGAATAATTACTGAATGAATGAAAAGTAATGAACACACTTTACAGCTAAGCCAAATGTTCCAAATATATGCATGTTGGAAGAAGGCAGTGATGTAAATATAACTCATGGTTATCCCCAAACTATGCAAAGTAGCCAAATGAAGGTACACATTTACTATGCCACCATGTACATATGTACACCATAGCCTTATCATGAAAAATGTTGTGTCAATGGCTAAAAATTGTGTGCATGTGGATGAATTAATGGATGAACAAATGCATAGTGGAACATTTCTTATGAAGATTTATTCATACCTACTTGGGTGGCTGAAGTTATTCAAACTTTGCCCAAGGCAAGTAGTTATGTAGGAAAAACGGCACAGTTGGTAGTATTGCTCTTTATTTTGCAATAACTGAAGGACACCAGGTGCTTGTTTAACATCTCCCTTCCTGTTGTAGACTGTATACATGTCTAAACAATCTGTTACTTCTTTAAAAGAAAGATTTGTAGCTAATAATACCCAAGTGTGGGCAGCTAACAACACTATCAAGGAAGAAGGTGTGTGCCTCTTTAACTGAGAATCCAGACTGTAGTAATAATTGCAGAATACAACAGTATGGGGAAGACACTGAAGAAAGCCAGAAACGATTTCTGCATTTAAAAAAGAATATCTTGGAACAAGCAAATCTAAAGTTCATTAAAGATAATAAGGTTTAAACTACTTTAAAAAGTCAGAAAGATCCAGTCAAAGGTGATTCAAAAGGCTATCTGCTTGGGACCATGGACAAGTGATCCAAGCAAGGTGGATAAATAACATATCATAATTTAAAGAACAGGTCTGCTGTTAAAGCAGATCAAATACTAGCAATGGCAAATTTGATCATTTCTGAGATCCCGCTAACCAAATGTTTAATGCCACTTAATGTATTAGGTCAAATTTGCTTGTTTTTTTATACCTATGCCAATATTCCTAACATATCCTTTAACATTATGAAAAAACCGTCCCAAAAGTCACAATTATCAACCCCCCCCCCCAACTGTCACAAATAATTCCCACTTCTTTCCAAGAATCTTCCATTGCTGATTCATAGGGCAAACGAGTTTGGGAAACTCAACTATGATAGTAATGTTAAATCGGGCCAGTAGATGGTGCTGTGGTTACATTTCTAGGCTGATGTTGGCTGTTTTGTTTTTTGGTCTGTGGCTTTAGGAATGTGTGTCCTACCATTCTCCGGATTTTGCCTGAACTTTGGCTGGGAAATCCTTCAGAAAAATAACCTTGGAAGATACCCTGACCATTAAAAAAAACCCACATTTCTTCTCCCTATAAATCTGTAAGTTTTCTTGTGCAATGTGAAAGCAATGTTGTTTTCCAGATTAACTGCTGTTTTAAAAAAGATCATAAATTCAAGCTCTGACATGTTTTAACTTCACTTGAAAGACATGTAAGGAGATGAGGCCTTGAAGTTGCTTGGACAGCTCTGAATCTTTATGTGAAAAGTACTTTTCATGACTTTGTGATGTTTATTAAGCTGGATGAATTTATTCCCAGTTCTGTCTCAACAGAAAGTGACAAATTGCATACAGTTAAGCAACTTTAAATCCAACTGCTTCTAAGGAGAGAAACTCACGTAAATAACAAGGCAGCCTCCTTCCACCCATGTCCACACCAAGCTTGCTCACGATGTTTAAAAAACACCTACCCAGAATTTGTTTTTGTGATAATGTTTATTTTCCTCCATGTATTGGAGAACAGTGATACATCTTTTACCAGTCTGGAATGTGTTAAAGCATGACAAATAAAGGAAAGAATGAGGCAATCAAAACCAATAACATAGACCAAATGAAAATGACAGGCGGCACCAGAAAGGTGGAAACACCTCTGCTGCCCCGGCAAGTAGCTTGTATCTTCCACCTGCCCTGTTGCTGGCTGGACCCATGTGGTTGTTCTAAGAAAGGCACTTTCAGATATAAATTAAACTAAATCCTAGACTGGAAATTACAATTGGGCTGTGATCCAGAACTGCAAAATTTTCCTTACTCATATTCCCCCCCTGGTGCCGCCACTGCTGAAAACAAAGGTTACGATTCTCAATATATTAAAAAAATAACAGGGAATATTAAAAATAATGCCCATACACTATATATATAATATATATATATATATAAAACATATAAAAATAATTCTGTACTTTAAAGATTACAGGGAGAGGAGAAACTTTTTTCTTTTGTTTTAAATATGGCTAACTTCTTCTTTCATGCCAAAACACCCACCCAGCCACTCACTCAGCCACACCGCACACACCGAGAGTCCATTGCACTTCGCCTGGCCGGGCCGTTCAAGTATAAAAGGTAGTCCCTGCCGCCGAGGGAGGGGCTTGCGAGTAGCCAATTCCCTGCCGTGAGGGGGGAGAGAAGTCAATACGGAGCGGGAACGAGTCTGTCGCCGCCGCCGCCGAGCGCTGACTGCGGGAGGGAGGGAGAAGAAGGGCGGCCTGCGAGAGGTCTGCAGTGCCTGCTCCGCAGAGCGCGGTCCAGAGTCCCTTCGCCTCGTCCCCTGGGCAAGGGCACGCCTCTTTCCTCCGGGAATGCGACGCTCAGCCTCCCGTTCTTGCCGGTAGTCACCGAGCTGCTGGAGCGGCGCTCGCCCGCGCTTCTCCGCTGTCGCTCGCTTCTTCCCTGGTTAGAGCTCACCGGCGCACCCGCTGCGACGCCTATATCTTGCGAAGGAGGCGGCTGCGCGACGGCCGAGCGGGGCGCTGGGCGGCAAGCGCACGTACCAGGCGGGAGAGGGCGCTGCTGCTGCTGCTGCTGGCGACGCCGTCGCTGCGCTGCGAAGCTGCGGAGGGGGCGCGCGCGCGAATGTCCGCCAGAGAGCGCCGCCTGCGGCCGTAGCCGTGCGCGCTGATCTTTCTGGGCGGGTGGTGGCTGTCCTTGTCCTTGTCATTTAGGTGGAAGATCTTCTGCTGCAGGTTATGCGTGTTGCACGTCCCCAGTCTGCATCCGATACGCAGGGCTTGGAATGAGGAGCCGGAGTTGACGCTCTGGCGGTAGCGCTTTACGCGGATGCGGCCAACCTCGGGGCGGCTGAGAAGACGAAGGAGAAAGAAGCCGTGAGCCAGACGGAAAAAAGTCTGGGTCGGCGCTTTGTAGAGCGCGCACGAAAACAGCCGATCCCACCCCGTAGTTACAGCCTAGCGTGGCTACTCTGCATCCCTTTGGTTTTAGCAGGAACAGTCCGCAAATCAAGCACGTTTTTCTAACTTTGAAGCCCCCAGACCTTAAATTTAGCTTTTAAGGCTTCCATCCCAAAAACGCCTAGAAAGGGGGTGAAGACAGTTGGACTCCAGGCCGGACAAGCGCCAAGAAAGCATGCACAGGTTTGCTCCAGCGTCGCTGGGTCTGACTTCCCCCGCGCCTCCTCTACGCGTTCAGATAGACCGCTTTGGAACTCTGCTGGCAGCCCGGCTCTCCCTTTCCCCCTACGCCCCTCGCTCGCCTGCTCGCTCTGCCGCCAAAATCGCTCCAGGGCCCGCGAGCGCCTGGCCGCGTCACAACAACGCTCGCAAGGAGAAGGAATAATTACCTGGGCTGCGCCATTCCGGACTCGCCTTTCACGTCCTGGGTGCGGATGACTGACGGCACGTTTGCATCAGCCGCTTGTCCCGTGCTGAGCAGCGCGGCGGCAGATGTCAGGTCCCGCCTGACGCGGCTCACTGCCCACTTACTCCACCTGAAAGAGACGGGCGGGGAGAAGCCGGTGAAGCGAAAGTTCGGCGAGGGGTGGCGCCCGGGGGGGGGGAGGGTCGTCCTCCGCAGGCGGAGAGCGCGGGTCGCTCCGAGCTTTGCCCATGAAGGGCAGCCTACAGCTGTCACCGGGTTAGGAGGACGCGCGGTCGCTCCGCGGCTGCAGCCAATGCCCCCGACCCCTCCTCCCCTTCCCGCCTTATCGTGGTGAGGGTGGTGGGAAGCTGGGCAGACAGTTTCTCGGCTGGACCCGAAGCAGCGCTGCTGGCCACTGACCTTCTCTTGAAATCTGATGCAACGTCCAATTTGGCTGTCTTCACCCCGAAGACGGAGACGGAGGCCAGGTAGACCAGGGCGAAGGAAACCACTTTCATCCTAGTCAGAGAAAGAAAGGAGGAAAATCTTATCAGTCTGCCCTTCCTAAAGGGGACGCCCTCTTGTTTTGCAGATCGCCAGGCAGGTCGCTCTGCCGCCCGGCAGACTCCCCTTCTCATCGCCTCTCCCGGTGCCCAAGCGGGGGACTTTGGGAGCCCGTGTGACATCCTGCTCTAATATTTGCTCAGTAATTCATCACAGCAGGATCAATAAAGGAGCCTCCAACGTCCACATTTGTCAAAGTTTCGATTTGCATAGCAGGGTGAAGGCTAAGCGAGCCCCTTCGAAAGCGGAGAAGCAACGGCCCCTCAGGCGCTTGCTGCTGGTGCACTTGCAGGGACGCAAACCTCCCTACCGGCTCCCCATCGCATCCCCCGCGTAGCCTAACATAATTGGAACAGCCACCTTCACGCTGGAAGTGCCCTTTGAATTTCCAGGCGGGACGAACTCCTTCAAGGGCTTGCTGTCTAAAGTAAGTTCGGTTCTCCAGCAGTAGCAAAGAGAACAGTCCCTGGGCAGCAGAACTGCACGTGCGGATCTGCTGGCCAGAGTTTGGGGCCCTTCTTGCTAATGGAAGGACCACAAACCCTTTTTCAGCTCCCTTTTTCTAAACGACCCCTCAGCTCTTCTTTCTTCCCCCTCCCGCCTGCCCGTCCTTATTCTTCCATTTAAGAAGTGCAGACCTGATAATGACGATAGTCCACCGAGCTTGAAGAGGGAATCCTCGGATAACTTCGTTTGCAAAATGTCAAAACAGCCCAGATCCTTCAAGACCTGCTGCTGATCTCTGAGGCTGTCTTGCTTGCACCACTGAAGTTACTACTGACTGTCCGGCGCACTTTGCGTGGTTTTTTTATAGAGCAGCACCAGGCAGGGAGGGGGGAAGAGCAGGGGGGCGGGACTCGCCGCGAGGAGTGGGCAGGAAACACCATGAAAGTTTAGTTTGCACACTTCCTCAATTGATCTAGAGATTGTGCGTGTCCAGGGATGTGCACTGGAATCTAGCAAGTCCGCAATTATTTTCCCATGGATTCTGCCCACTGTTCTTACCCCGTAAGGTGAGCCCTACTGAATCGAACTGCAGGTGAAGCTTACTCCGTATTCGGCTTCCAGAAGTAGCTTCCAGAAGTGGCTAGATGGTTCTGCAAAACTCATAAACGTGAAGGCAAGAGACTGTTCCTGTTACTGAGGAATACTGCCTCTGAACACAGAGGCTCTGTGGAGCGGTCATGGATAATAGTTCCCGGTCCCGGTGTTGCCAGGCATGGTCCCTGTCAGTACTGGCTGTTTCTCACTTTTCCCTCTGCTGATCTGAATACCAAGAGCAAGTATGTTAGTTGAAATGACATACAGTTAAAAGACAGGTGGCTTATTTTTATCATCATCATCATCATCATCATCATCATCACTATCATCAATTTCATTCCTGTACCACCCAGTAGCCAAAGCATTCTGATCAATTTGCAAATATAAAGTTGTGCCTTGTTCTCGAAGTAGTGCAATTAATGGATCAGTTTAACTTAGTGTCTTAGTGTTCATAGTTCTAATATATGAAAGTGAAGTCCTGCTGTACAAAGGTAAGAATAAATTCCTGAATGACATGTCTGTGTGGCTGTGGGTACATGTGCATGTGTGCTTGGGGAAAAGAGGTGCGTAAATTTGCTGAACAGGAATGCCAGTAACAGCAGTGGCATTGCAGAGCTGATTACTCATTTACATGTGAGCTTTTTTTCTCCCGTTGCTGCACCTCCTCATTAGCTCTCCAGCCTACGCTTAATTGTACACGTAGCCACTGCTGGACTAGATGGGTCTGGCCGGGTCCTCCTCCCGAGCGTGTGCAAAACGATGCAAATCTGGTGGATTTGCTTCTCCTTTTCTTAGGGGTTTTCCTGTATGTGCCTTAACAGTCAAGAAGCTTTAAAGATCAGAAATCAGATTAAAAATTCCCAGAACCTTTTACAATATAGCTTTCCAGATCTGCAAAAGTTTGGTGGCTGAGCCAAGCTGGTATGCCCTCCTTGCCTTTGCATGCATGAACTATGCACTGCATGGTTGTTATGTTATGATAAGCATGGCAGTGCCTGACATCTGGGAGAGGTGTGTAGATGGACATGATGGAGGCTTTGCCTGGTTTTTCCAGGTGAGAAGAGCTTCTTGAGCATGTACTACTTTTGCTTCTTGATTGCAATATGGGAGGTAATTGTACCTTTTATTTCAAAAAAGCTGCAAACCTGTCTCAGAGCAATAGCTGGAGGCTATCCAGTAAAGGTAAGCAAAAGAATCAGTAGAGCAGGCTCCCTCAACTTGGTGCTCTCCAGATGATTTGGATTTCAGCTCCCATCACTCCTGCCAGAACGTTGGGAGATACGGTCCAAAAACTTGGTAGGCACCCATCTGGGGAAGGCTGCAGTACAGCTTAATAATACACGTTGTTAAATCTTATTTGGAAAGGGGGCTTAATGCCACCACTTTTATTTTGAAGGAAAAGTAACTGTTGGGTGAGTAGCAGAAGGGAATTAAACAGCAAACAGCAACCTCTTTTCCTTTGCTTCCTCAGCAGGGGCTAGAAAAGAGTGTGTATGTGTGTGGAGGGAGGGGTGATCTCCAGCTAGGAAACCTCAAGGTACCCTTCCCTGAGAGCCTCCTTCTGCAATCTTTGCCACTCCTGGGGACCTGTGGGAAGTGCTTACTCTTATCTGCTCTCTTTTGCTCCCCCTCTCTAGTCTCCACAGGTTTGGGCACACAAGGCTGCCTAGAGACAGAACCCATGGCAGCTTGTAGGGTTCTGGAGTGGTTTGGAAGACCTTCCCCACTCTAATCCTTGCAGGGTTCAGAAGACAGTGCAACCCACGTATCCTGAGGGTAATTAGGCACCTGCATAACTTTTCCTCCCAACCTCCAGTGAGAGAGATGCTTCTGCTCTCTGCTCATTCCCATCCTCTTGTTCTGTGGACAATGCATCCAGAGATTTGCCTACTGTTTCATTTGCTCACCTGCCTACACAAACTGGTCCACCTTGCTGCAGTGTCCAGAGAGAGGTAGCAGGCGAGAGAGGACCTTCTTGCCTATTCTAGCAGCATGCCCCCCCTGTAGAGCGAGAGAGGATGAGTAATAAGGGGCTGCTGTTAGCAGCCACTATACAATCTCCCCAGTTTTCCTTCTCTTGTTAGGAAGGATTGGGCAAGTCTGCATGGCCCCTGCTCCCTCTTTGAGCAGTGCAGTGCAAAGTGCTGGGGTTAGCCATCCAGAGGAAGCAGGGGAGTGAAATACAGCTCTTCTTTGGAATAGCAACTATTGTCTGCTTCACCTGCTGTCATAGGCTGATCCGGTGGATTGGGCTATTAGGACCAATCCCCACCATTGTATGCAGAAAAAAGAAAGAGAGTGGGTGAGTGAGTGAGTGAGTAATGGGATGTGGCAACTATTCCTTCAGTGCCCGATTGGTTATGCTGTGCCACCCAAAGAGAAGGCGAATTGCGAGGAGTTGAGTCTGCTTATGCTCCTCTTCTTAACAGCACTCTCTGCTAAGGTGCCTGGAGTGGATAAGCAGGAGGGAAGAGTAGGAACAGCAGTTCCCTTCTTTGCTTATAAACTCCCTTTCTGAAAATATTCCTTTCTTGAAGTGTGGGGAAATTCCAGACTTCTGGAAAGGGGGTGGACTGTTCCCATCATTCTTTTCCATTCTCTTTCACATGGCAAGGAAAAAGAAACGAGATGGCTGTTTGCAGTTTCATCCCCACTTCTCAATAAGGGGCTGATTTTCCTTCAAGCTTCCTTTTTCAAATACTTGTTAAATGTTGTATGTATTCTGGCCCTTAAGTAAAGATGGTTATAACCTAGTAAATGCCATTAAAGGCAAGGGTGGCATTTAGTCAGAGTTTAGCTTTCTAATAAAAACATTCACAGGCAGGACAATTGTATGTTATATATTTGGATGAGGAGCCGTCTACTAGTGAATTTGCCTATTAAATCTACGCAGCCGAATCTTATCTGCTCTGGCAATGCCCCTGGAAAATTTTGGGCAAGGTTCTTTCCCAGCCCTACAACCTGAGATCCTTTAACTAGAAATGCAGTCTGGATCCCTGTGCATGGAAAGAAAGAATTTGATTTCTTGGCTTTTGGCTGAGTCTTGTAAATAGCTGTCTTGCACTGATACAGGCATGTGCACACTATGAGTTATATGGAACTCTTACACTGAGTAGTAGCAGGTAACTTACCCTCATAGGAGCTAACTTTCAGTTTAGCCTTATGAAGATTAATGACCTTACCACATTTGTTTTATTTATATTTTGGGGCATATTGTCAACTCCATTCACTACCTGATTTTACTTTCATTTCTCTGCATACCATGTATTTCTCATACAGAAGCTGAATGTATTGACAAGTTATTATAAGGGCAATTTAAGAAAACTCAGAAGCAGATGACTGTCTGCTAAATGCATCATGCAATCAAGAGGTAAATTTTGTTGACCCACTTGGAAACACTGATCACAGTATTATCAGATTTAATATGTGTTTCAGTGGAAAAGTTGTCGAAAAGGTCCAGTGCAGTCACATTGACTTCAAAAGAGGACATGTCTCTAAAATAAAGGAACTGTCAAAAAGGAAGTCAAAAGAGGCTTAAAACATTTCAAAATGTTTAGGAGTTATTCAAAATCACAATAATACAAATTTAGCTGTAAGGTATATTACAAGTTAGGAAAGAAAACCAAAAGGTCACTGGCATGTTTGACAAGCAATGTCAAGGAAGCTATTAGAGAAAAGAAGGTTTCCTCGAGGAAATGAAAGTCCTCCCCAAACGAGTAAAAGAAAACAGAGTACAAGCAGTTTTGATATGGAAACAACCTTTCTTAATATTTAGTCATATGGAAATGATACAAATAAATAATAAACATTGCATAAAGTGAGATACAAGCAGACAACAAGAGATACACAAAAGTATTTTGAGAAGTATGTTGTTAACAACACCAAGGCCAACAATAAAATAATTTTTAAACATGTCAGAATCAAAGCAGTTGGACTATTGGATGATGATGATGATGATGATGATGATGATGATGATGATGATGATGATGGAGTTAAAGGCATACTAAAGGAGGATAAGGAGATTGCAGAAAATCTGAATTAAGTTTTTGTCTCAGTGCACTGGAGAGGATACAGGCCAGAAATCTGCAGCTGAACTAATGTTTTCAGAAAGGGAGCCTGAGGAATTGAGGCACAATGTGGTGACAAAAGATGACATTTTCAAGATTGGTTGTTGTTAGTCGCGAAGTCATGTCCGATCCATCGCGACCCCATGGACAACATTCCTCCAGGCATTTTCAAGATACTGACAAATTAAAAGCTAATAAATCACTTATTTATAGTGATTATTAATCACTATAGAGCCCAGGTGGTATCTATCCTAGCTTTCTTAAAGAACTCAAATATGGCCATAGGTAGGTGCAGACAATACTTTTACAGTTGCTGGGGTGGATGCCTCATCAGCTATCAAGTACAGCAAGGGCCTCCTGGTAGTGACTCACCCTTCCCACTCCGTTGGACCTTCAGCTGGTATCCCAGGAGACATTGTGCTGGAGCGCTGAGGGAAGCAAGATGGCAGCAGCACAAGGGCAGATGGACACTCATGAGCAGCCTGGCTCTCCTGGCATCAGCAGGAGTTTGGGGTGGAGAACCTCAACTGGGGGTGAGAGGGGAAGCCTAGTGATGCAGCCCTTCCTTCTTCACAGGGGAGAGGACCAGGCACGGACAGGCCGAACCACTCCTTTCCCAGCCCAACTCATGAGTAGGAGTCAGATGTGAAGGGACTATGATTCTGCAGA